CCTCCTATATTCAGAATCGCAATTTTATCAGTCCAGTATGGAGGCGGTAGAAAAAATCGGATAGAAAAAAAAAAGCGATTTGGAATGTCACAATAAACTTTCACTCTATCCACACTTGTAATGACGTCAGCAACGTAATCCTCATCGGAACCATTCGATTTTTGGTTCTATAGATTTGATTTGTTCCACAGACACCACTTACTGCAGCCCAACCTTTCTGATTGGCTGTTGCTTAGAGTTATCACGTGCCAAAGCGATTAGTGGTTCAGGGCCCAACTGATGAGACTGCAGTGCCTCTGACTGAAGGTTCCCGAGCCGTCTGGGTAGCACGGATTGTTCAACACTAGCTTGCACGTTGGCTAACCGTCGTTCAGAATGCGTGGTCTGGGGAGGAAAAGAGGAAAGAAAGAATTCTCAGTGGTCGGCTGCGTCTGCGGTAATTTTCTCTCATCAACATCAAGTGAATGCCCGAGCAGTTGAAAAAATGTTTATACATTTATTTACTAAACATAGATGACGCGTATCGTACGATCAAATGACACCGGATAGCTACATGTCCTACCACACACGGGCGCAGCCGAAGGACAAGTTCAGTGATTACAATGATAAAAACTATTGCATGAAACGAGTGACAAGCATTACTCCGAATTGCAACACTATGAGTAACAATGAATCCAACTCTCCAGAAATCCGTCTTTTAACTACTCGAAATTTCAACATCCTAGGTCTCACAGAACATTGCTTGCACACCCGAGTTAAGCATTATTTTAAGTTCCCTGCACACGGTACCTCTCGCCAGCGAATTTCCACTGGCAAAAGCATTGTTTAAATGGAGTTATGGCGCCGGTGAAGCACGACTGCTACGCAGCGCATCGCGCCATCGCCCATCATACGCAGCCCTTCACACTGGCCACTCGAGGCGCCCCATTGCGTCCACAGGCCAGAGGTGGCGCCGCCTGGGTGGCTCCGTTGAAGAGTGGTGCGTGCCGTGCGCGATAGGTGGCCGTTCCGGCGACCTGTACGGGAATGTAGGCTGACCGGCATCCAATCCCCGAGTCGTACTCACTGCGCTCAATCCAGATGGAGTTGCCGCGAAGAACGTTGGTCCGCTCGACGCCTCCAACTCTGCTAACCATCCGCATCACCCCGTGGGCCAAAGTTCGACGAAGTGCATGCACCACAGGACGTGAGTCGCCCCCCCTCTCTACTTCACGCTCTCTCCGTCGTTTGTCTCTCTCTTTCTTCTCACCCCCGACCATCTCTCCGTCTTCTCTCTATACCCTGCCAATTATATATTAGATTTGTTTTTAGTTAATGTGTTATTTCAAATGTAAGTTTAAATATTGCCAAGTATGGTACATTTTTTAAATCAAACTTTGATTTCAAAATTTTTTCATATTACTTTTCTATTGTATCTTTAAAACCTGTTATTTGTACCCATTTTTGTTATTACGATAATTTTTGCTATGTATTGGCAGACATAATTGAATTAGGTCGATAAAGCAAAACTATTATTTCAAAGAGTACGTTGCAAAGGAAAATAGAAACCCCGTTTTAGTATAACGTGAAATAAACGATCACCGAAACAGGTGGCTGAGGCAATCAGTTGATGTCTCTCAGTGCCTCTTTCACAGAGAGTTCTAGGGATCAAGTCCAAAACAGTGTGGCAGGAGCTTGCCGGGCCGGATGGCGAGATCGCTAGCAGGATTGCGCGTAGCGATCTCGGATCCGAAGGATCGCGGTTTCGAGTCCCGCCCCGGGCATGGATGGTATTGTGTTCGTCATTTCACCCCTAACATAATCATACGTGCATCCTCACCAGTTACAAGCAATAGGTGGCCGCTAATGACCTAGAAGTTAGATACGACCTTAAATAACCCAAAAGAAAGTGGCAGAACTTTCGATTCGTAGCTTAGAGAAGAAGCAAGGGGGTTTCGGAAAAAATTTTTTTTTTTCAAAAGGCCCGGGGCCGTTTTTCTAAAAAAAGGGGGGGCGGGGGGGCAGGCTGCTCAATCGATGTTTTCCATGGTTTGTCAGCGTCAAACACCAGGTGAATGCCAGAGCCAAACCCACTATTATCTTTGCTTCCCTCCCTCGTCTTCCCTCACCCTTCTCTCTGACCACACTTACACGCATACACTACCACACATGCTTGGAGAGAGGATACCTGGGTGAGGGGACATTCGCATAAATAGACTCCTTTTTATTTATTTCTTAATTTTTCTTTTGAGCCACATTTAAAAACATTTTTTCCAAACTAACTTGAGTGGGTTATTTGCGGCCGTGTAGGTCGTCACTGGTTCGCCCCAACCAGACCTCCTCCCACAAGCGCGACAAAAAATGCCTACGCGTATAAGGACGCGCCTTCTGCCCCGTGCCGCAGGACTCGGTTGCGCTGCTGCAAGGCTGTCATCGAGGGCGCGTCTGGAGCACGGAGGACGGCTTAACCTGGGCGCTCCAGCCCAAGTGTCTGGTGAGGAGCTTTGCCCTTCCTGCGCGTGAAGCCCATCAAACTGGCAACTTCAAGCTCTGGTCAGTGCCCCCCACCGCGCTCTCGCTCCGTCCAGCCACGCATTGGCGATGAGCGAAAATGGAATAGTTCGGAAAGAAAAATTAACCGAAAATATAAACTCCAAAATTTTACACAATTTATTTTTTTTTATTTTTCCTTTCATGAACACTTCTGCCTATAAATAATTTTTTTCAAAACTGACTTTCGATTGATTCATTGCAGGCTCAACCATTCGATATCCACCTAGTTGGTTTAAATTTTTAAGAGCTTCTTTTCGACGTTCCTACACGCATTTACCCTGTGTGAATATATGTATGTATGTAATGAGTCAGTTAGTCGGAGGTGTTGTAACTATGCGTGGATTGGTGTCATACGAAGCCAATGTGTTGTGTTGTGCAGAACAGCCGCTGCGCACGCCCGGTGTACACGACGTTCGCTGCGGCGCAACGCCATGGCCAGGGGCTGGTGTTTGAGGCCGACCTGGCCACCAAGGAGCACGTCAGCCACTGGGTGCTGCAGGGCGTCTGCCTCGTGCTCAACACCGACTGAACAGAAATACATTGCATGCACATTACTGCTCTTTCCAGTCTAGTTTTTACCCTATGCCGTCTCGAGTTCTCGCCTATTCAACTGTTAAGGCGTTAGTCACCGTAAGTATAGTGGCAGATTTCCTCGAAGATGCGAGGTCCGGCGTCGACCTACCGTCGGCTAAACGGGGTTCTTCCATAACTAGGTATTTCCTATCAACGCGCCACCACCACACGGACAAGCACTGTCAAGCTCCCTACCCCGTCTTACGGCATGTGTGGTAGTGTAGCTATGTTATTATGTAAAGGGGGAGAATAGGATAAGAAATGGAAAGAAAGGTCGTTTGCCCGATCCGTGGCCATTTGGTTAGGTACTTCTCCGGCAATTCGCCTGGTGTTGATTGGAGAAGAAACACGGAAGACTACGATCAGAGCACCAGCGACTAGAATTTCTCCTGGAGACAGCGACTGAATTGACCTAGCTGTCTGGCTAAGCGTCGAAAATACCGGCCACCACCGCCGGGACTCAAACCCCACACCTGTCGATCAGGAGGCACTGCAGTGATATCACGTCGATTGCCCTGAGCCACCGGAGAAAGAAGCGGACGCGCACCTGCTCGTCCTGGAGCCTCCCTTCCTCCGCAGGTGCTTATGGCCGATAAGCGGCACCTCATTCAAACGTCAAGACAGTTAAAACTGCGAGTCACAAACTATGCGAGGAAACGTATTCGTGCACGTTGTGTGAAGTATACATTTATGTCCAGAAGTACACAAAGGGGCCATCTCCAGCATTCGTCGAAGGATCAGGGAAAGCTGGACGAAAAACCAGAAACTGAGGTACCATTACTTGTTACCACGTTGTTTTAGAATTGTTGCAGTCAAAATGGTCATTAATACATTCAAAATTATTGTTTAAAATTAATATATCTTTCCGTTTCGATGCTCAGTATAGTCACTAATTGTATAGAAACATTAGCAACAGAAAAAGATTTTACTGGGCACTTAAACTTGTTTATCGCATTAATCGTTTAACACCATCTGGACAATGTGTCTGTCAAATAATGAATGCATTGTATGTAGAACTTTTTTGTACAGGGATGACTGTACTGGCACCCGATGAATATGATTATTACGTCGTCGTTTGTAGTTTATAGACATCGAATTTTAAGGGTTGAAAATATATTCGCCGCGCTTGAGTTAAAATCTTTTTGACCAAAAACTCAACTCTCGCGCCGCAGTCCCAAGGAGCGGCTCTCTCTCTTCTGCCTCTTTACTCTCTTCCTCTACGCTACGAACCTAGTTCTCACTGCAGATTCGCATACAGCCGCCGCTTACGAACTAACAACCCCGGAGTACTCTCAATGGGATGGACATTAAAGTCAAGTAAACCAAAGCCACTGACTCTTCGTGGGTCGGAGAAGAAAAGCCCCTCCCGATAGAACATTCAACGGAACCAGAATACGTTCCGTGCCCGCATGACCTACCTCGGCGCCACCCTAGACGAGAACTAGCTGGGAACAGCAGCGTGATGCAGTTAATTAAGGTGCAGATGGGCGAAGAAACCGCCCGCCCTCCCACCTAGCGAACGAGGACGTACGAGACATCGCGAAGACTGTCTGCTCGGGCTCACCCGCGGCGCCGGAGCGCCGCGCTCTCACAGTCCCTCTCCCTGGCGCCACGGCTACTCTCTTTCCCTCTCTTCTTTACTTACCCCCTCTCTGTGTTGTTGGGATGAGACGGCCGGACTCACCCACAGAACGTCCCGAGGGGCGTGTGGTCAAATGAAAGAGGAAGAAACTGTCCTGCCGTTGGTTTATTAACTCTAGGTCATTACACATTTAGAATCTAATCATTACGTTCACTTACTTTACTTTGACTCCCAATCTAGCAGATCAGGTTGATTTCCTAAGACTTGTATAGGGGGGGACAGGTTGGGCTCGCCCTGGCACCAACTTACCATTTCCCCGCGTAGGTCTCGCCTCGCCGGGTCCTCCGCCCGCTCTTCGTCCACGTCCCGACCTTGGTAGCCTGGCCACCGCCTCGCCTCCTCTCCCTTCGCGCCCTTCCTCGCTGTGCGGTTTGCCGGGGCCGTGCCAGAGGGCCGCGCTGAGGCATGTCTTGCAACTTTTCACCGGCTTCGCTGGACTGTATTTACATGCCTCTTCAAAATGGAAATACGTTCCTCTCCACATTTGATAATTTTATTCCCAACGCCCCCACGTCCTGACGCACCGCCTGCGCCACCGCCAGCGAATTCTCACATAAGCAAACTATGGGAGAACAGACCTTACGGCTGTTCAGTAAATAAACATCAAATCAGTTTGTTCCCGTTGAGGCCGATCTTCTTTTGTCATCAAAGAAATTTTTAATATGTGTTTCGGTAATCAAAAGTTATTATTTATGCAACTGTTAAAAAGTAGAATTACGAGGCTTGGCCTTTTTGCAATGCATTTATAATTGGCATGAATTTTGGATATTGCATTAAAAATAGTCGTGCACTTAAAAATTAATGATTTCTTCTTGAATCTTAGACATTTTCAAGCTTAACAGAAACGTACCTGGAATTATTGGAGTCTCTTAGGAACAGCTTTAGATTTGTGAGGAAAGGGAAGAAAATGCGCTTTCGTACTTTTGGAAAGGTTTGAGGCAAACTTCGTTAGTTCCTCTCCCCATTGCGGGTTTAGTTCATCCATCGATTCTTACAAAAAAGAATTAAAAACATGCGTTCTACCCACTCCTCCTTCAACAAACATCATTCAGATATTACTGCAAAAAAAAATACCTCGAAGTATAAACCCCGATTGCAACAACCAGCATTGAATCCCTCGGCCATCTTCAATAAAAAGTTAATTGTGTGCTTTTCTGGCCAATGCCTCAGTATCTGTATCTGCGCGACGATGAGAAAGCTCACTTCTCAGGTTGAGAAGACCAGAGTTCAGGGTAGGGATGGTTAATGCTAACACACACGTATTCTTTAAACCATGCCCGCAAGGTCGGACGGCTTTGGTAAGACCCGGACGGTGCTGGGCGTTTGCCAAAGTACATACACACTATTAAAAATTGAGAAAAAAAAGCCCCGCGAATAGCCATTGTCTTTAATTCAAACTTTCTTCAACGCTTCCACTTCTGTTCTATAGAATAAAATTTTCCACCTATTTCTTCAAAGAAATCGTTTGGATGCAGCGGCTGCCGGCTAGCGCGAGCAACCAACGAACACCATGACCTTCACGACCTGCATAAAAAATAAAGCCACAAAAGTCCTCAGCGGTATGGGCGCCGAAAGGGTAGGCCCCACTAAAAAAACAGAAGAAACTAACATAGAGTGCTTGTTATTAGAGTCTACCGCCTAATAACTTGGCTAGAATAAACCTTACCTTTTGTGATTCGTGAATTTACTGATTTTCTCCGCTAGAAAGATTTTTTTTAATGTCTACTTTCACGTGAGCACAACACACAAAAAAGTTGTTTCTTAGACCAAGGATTAAAAAAACTTGTTGCGTCCCAAATCTGTTGTTCACTACACGCGATGTAGTATTTTTCGGTTTTCAAGAAATATTTTGAATTAGTAAAAAAACTGTGCTGTACGTATGAGAACATCTGCGCACATTTTTCATTTCCAAGAATCCCTTCCCTCTCATGATAAAATCATTGTGACAGCATACGTGACCTTAATTTACAAACCCGCCTTTGCCGCCATTTCTTCACACATTCATTTATGTTCACCACATGTCCCTCGTTCCCCCACTGGAAATCCCAAAAAGCAATTTTTAAGTTTTTTGTTCTTCGAAACTTTTCTAACACCGCCTGGCGGAAGAAAGGGCCATTTCCTTCTCTTGCGATGCAACGACATTCTGAGTAGGAAGAGCTACCAGGAAGCTACCACAGTTAAACAACATTTTTTACAACAGAACTTTCTAAAATTTATATTTCATTTTTATATCACCAAAAATTTATAATAATACAAGCAAAAATTTATACAATATAAAAAGAGCTATTTTCCTCTCGATTTGGAAAATGTCTGGGTTGGCTACTAAACATGTACTTAACAGAACTTAAAATATCTCTCCTTTTCATTCAGAATATCATGGGTACATTTGATTATGAAGTAGGAAATCCATGTGTGTTCAGCCTAGATAATTAATGCATCGGGGGGGTATTACACTGTAATAAATCTTTGTCAAAGATCTTTTATAAGGAACATATGTCAGTGTAAAAGTTAATGTTTTATAAAAGTTTCTTTATAAATATTTCTGTGATAAAATTAGCCTCAGCGTCAAGCGTTTTCATACATTTGGTAACATGGCATCCAATAGGTATAAGTGGGGTATTTCTTTCACCAAAGTTCTAATTGCAGAAGCATGAGCAATTAGAATGTTAGATATAATACTGTTCATTCAGACACCCAAAATAAACCCAAACGACTTGAGACGTATAAAACTTTTTCCCGAAAAGTGAATAATATGAATTTGGAAATTGCCCAATTCATTGAATTATTTGTTTAACTTTCAAAATCAGGAGTTCCAATTTCAAAAAAAGGAAGGATGAATGACAATTAGAATCTGTATATTTCCTCATCCATCGTCAATTTTTTTCATTTCTAAGGCTCGTATTAATTTATGCTGCAACCACAAGCCGTTACCCTCAAATGCCTCCTCTTTACCTTTTACTTCTTCAGCATTAAACCAACGCTATCTACGTGGTGTTGCATTAAACATACATTAGTTATATTAAGTAGAAAGTGGCACAAATACAACTAATTGTGAGGCATCATCTTCAATTGGCAAGCAAAACTTACACAAAATATTAGGACAAAATGTAATTTACATTCGTCAATTTCTTTTCAAGGATTCCTTTGTCGAAGTTAAAGAACTTTCACAAAGTTCTTTATCAAGAATATATTCTCAAATATCTTTTACAGATTCATACCAGCCATTATTCCCATTATTAGGCATTAGAACAATTTACTAGTAACAATGAGAACTTCAGTACTGACGGCAAGCACTTCCATTTGCGGAGTCATACCATGTAGCTATACAAATATATTTCTAATATCTATTTTAATTGTATCTTGAATATTAGAATAAATCACAGAAAAAAGGTTCATTCTTCGAATATACTGAACCGACTTTAAAGCTCAGAATGATGCAAGCTTCATTTTCCATATTTAATGTTCCAGCAAGAGCATTCAATGCCTAAATCTACGCTGAGTGGGCAATGCCGCACTAGGCCTGTCACGATAGAGAGGGTTAGCTAGTCGCAGTGCCACTATGTAAGATAGGACACAGAAATGCCACTTGGCTGAACAATGAAATCAACCTAGTTGATTAACTCCACTGAGTTAAATCACTTGTGCTAAAAGCGGACTCATTTAATTGCATCTGAATGCAATCTCTTCAAGATCTAATTCTGAATATTGAAGAGACAAGAGAAGTTTCTTATTGCAAAGAGTTCCTTTGGCTAGAAATTCTCTTTCCAATCTGAACAACAACAAGAAAAAAACAATTATTATATAAAAACAATGAAAAGTAAAAGTATGAGATAGGATAAATCCCTGCCCATATTTCTCTACTCATCTTTTCGTTCCCTGATAGTTCTCTACCCGTTTTCCGAGCTTGTGTTGTATATAAAGTGAAAGAAAGTACCATACTTCTTCAAATTCTAATGGAAAATTTGTTTCCTTTAGAAATATTTTACCCACTTCTAATTGAACTGGCCAATGATAATGTTTCTTAATGATTTAACAATTAAATGGCTCAGTAGAAAAATAGCGTATTCTACCATTTTGTTTGAAATCAAGTAAGATTTAAAGAAATCATTCAGAATGTCAGTCTTATAGTTTGTGATTGGAAGATCCCGTTTATAAAACATGACTCTATTGACTTGGCTCTGCAATGCACATTCCTTCCACTGAGTTCTCAGAGAGAATTGAACAACTCAGTTGTTTTGAGAAAACCAAACTTTGGTGGAGGTCAATTGCAAAATCTTGCAAAACCAGATAGTGAAAAACACACCCTAACTTTAATTCTACAACCAAGATATTCTTGATATTAGATTTTACCGTCAATCTTACACAGCAAAATAATGTTTTATAATCGATGTTGCAAATCATCACAGTGTGAATTTGATATAAAATGAATGGATAAATCTGCTTTTTTTTATCCCTAGTGTGCCAACAAAATCTTGAATTAGAATGAGTAGCATGTTAAGGAAACTACTGTATGACCAAATATATTTTCATATGTATTATTCAAATTATTTCTATTTTAACATTATGTTGCTACATGAAATTTTTTTATTGTATTCTTTTGTAAATAAAGGTCTCTAGCGATGCTCATGGCAGACTTATTAAGGCTTCCCATGGGTTGTTGGTCCATGTTTGATTCCCGGTCGAGCAAAAATAGGTTTGTAGCTTTCCTTTTACAATCATCTCAGTTTCTGCCAGCGTTGACAAAGAAATGCTCAAGCGACGGTCTTGCTTATTCATGAAGCTCTACTGTTATAGTCTCTAGCTTCGGAATTAAGTAGACCCAGGCATGCAGACACCGTTAGCGTGCTAGCAATGTCAGAAGTATAGACTCAAAATGCCAAATACACTCATTACTCAATGATAGTCATGTATGAATAAGTTATTTAAGTCTAGAATTGACTTTTTTTTGGCTAGGGTACAGTTTTAAAATACTTCAGTATATCAGCTCTGCAGAAATCTCAGTTGAAAAGGGGCTATCTCACAAGGCAATGGAGCTTTGGATCTTATCTGTTTTGTTGCAAATCAGCCCAAAATGAATAACGAAGAGTAAGTTTTCTTATTGATCATAGGGAATCAATCTTGCAGACCAAGAGTTATAAGAGAGGTAGATGCTTAAAACTGAGTATCTTAGAAACACCATAAAAAATGAAAAGAAATTAGAAAGAAAAGCCAAGGAATTCTGATGAGATTAACATAACCGAAGTGGAAAAAGGTGGTCAAATTGAGCATTTAACATGTAGCAAATTAACTTCATTGTAGCAAAACAAAATTGTATGCATACAAAGAGGAACATAAAAGAAAGTATTAACTTGAATGATACCCCCAACAACAAAAACAAACTCATGGTTTACAATAATTCTTGTATGAGACAATAAACATTGTGAATAATGATGGAACACATGGATATGTATGCTGGAAAAATGGTTGATTCCTTACCTCCAGAATAAATTGTGTTATGCTGATTTTGGACAGTAGTAATAGATATAGAAAGAAAGACTTACTATGTTTGAAATAAATATTATTACTAAATGAATGTAAATAAAAAAAACAAATTTGAAAAATGTATCTGAAAACAGAAGCATACTAGAGAATAGTGCCCAGAAAGAAAACATAAGAATGTTATTTTTCATAAATAAAAAATATTTACTGTTTATAGAATTTTATGTGTTTATAATTTATATATACATATTTAAATCATTAAATATTTATAAATATTAATATTATAATTTTAGAGAAAAGCATGTAAAAAGAAATATATGTATATAAAAAGGCATTTGTTTCACCAAAGACCAAAGAAAAAGGCACATAAAAATTTAGCGCGAGAGAGCGTGTGTGTTTTCATAATTAATTTCATAATTCATTCACATATATTAAATTTGCCTTTACAATATTTTCATTAGCATAAAAAAACCATTTTCCTAAACATTCGATGTCAATTAACACGATAGTCTCTTTCTATCAACCAGGGCACCCATGAGAAAAAAAGAGACCTACTGGAGGCTTCCTATTTCAAACACCCCCCCCCCCCTGAATACCATAAACAAGATTCATTTCTCCAGGCATTAGATATAACTTATAGTAGTTAATTATAACCAGAAGTAAATATACTTTATTTTGTTTTTCAATGGAAGAAAAATTTGGGGCAAGTTGTCCTCCTTGACACCCCTGCGTGATTCCACAAGCCCACGGTTTAATTCATAAAGAGTGATTTTTTTAATACTGACCTGAAGAGACAAGCCCCAATTTCCAACCGAAATGATCAGTGGTTTAGTTTTACAAACTCAACAAGCTGTTTAATACTTACCTGAGATGAGCATAGTTAACTGCTCTGCGGAGAGAACCAGTCTGTGATTCACTGACTTATTCAGCCACAGTGTTTCACGTACATCTAAGGACAGCTTTACCTCTGGATGCATTTCTGGACTCGATTCCTTAGGAAAACACTGCACTCCACGCAACATCACTCGCACTGCACGTGCTGCACAGACGGCTCACTGGGCACAACAAAAAGTCATCTTACAATCAGTTCATTTGTAAACTTAACTTGCACTATTTTGCAAAAATTTATAGCACTTTATAAAAAAAATTATATCTCAAGTCTCCAAATTGGTTCTTTAATTCTTTCTTTGAATGAAAAAAGCCAAGACTAAAAATGCAAGGATCCCGTTTTTAGCAAACAAAAATTTTATTTGGGAAATCAAAGAACGATGAACATTGTAAAAGATTTACCAATATCAATAATAGAGATTGTTTTTCTTAATAAAATCTGACAAAATAGCTGTCTTAAAGATTGTCAAGTTAAATTTTTGGAAAAAACAAACAAAAAAACTAGTTGTTTTAGCCAATTTTTATTAAGTAAGCAATTTTAAAACAATTCAAAAACTGCTCTGATGTTTTCTTGAAAAGTACATTAATCAAAATGGACAATTTTCGGTTTCTGTTTATTCAAAATTGCAAAAAATCAATTGTAAAACTGCAAAGTAATATTTTTTTTCTTTATAAAATCTTTTCTCATCAACAGATCTGGGTATGAATATTTTGAAAAGATAAGCATTTTCGTATTGCAACATTTGCAAATTTCAAAATTGATATTCAGATTTTCGTGATTCTGTTGCTGAAAAAAGTGAAGCTGCACTATGTAATTGTTGATGTCTACGGATAAAATTCCATCAAATGAAAAGAGGTGATTTTGAACCTTGAGGCCTTCCCATCCCAGTTATTTCATATAGGAAGCCAAGGTGGCTAAAACAATCAAGAGGAAATTTCTGATAGTACAGCAGGAATTTGTAACGAATTATGATTCCACCTTATTTCCCCTGATTACACGATATTGCCATCTTGTAGCAAATTGCAGTAATGCCAGGACTTTTGTTATATATACGTTGCTTACTTATAGTAAATGTTATCAATGAAAATAAATATGTTAATTTGGATTGACTAAGATGCTGAATTTATTTCCTGATACTTCACAAAATGCACCCTATTTCTTGAATATAATTTTTTGAGAAAAAAAAGGTAATAGGCACTTGAAAAAATTTACTTACTGAATTAATAAAAGGTCACAACTCAATTGCCAATAATGCTAAATTTATTTAGTATAAAAATACTGTTAAATTATACCGAAAATTAGAAAGGTTTGCTTTCACAATAAACGCACCATGCTGCTTGAGCATTAAACAGACCAATGGTAAGTCAGAGGTTTTCAAACTCAATTGCTGCCGTGATTCAGGTAACAAAATCTGCACCGATGCTTCCCGCATTAAAATTAAATTGTTAAAAAAAAAGTAACAACTAAAATATTTTTCCTGAAATCATTATGACACCTTTGTTATTTAGTGTAATTACAGCTGTACTACAAAATAATTGAATCGCAAGGATTTGCACTGTTCACTCTTTGAATTAATGAATGTAATTAATGTTTGGGAAAACTATAAAAACAAACACATTGCATAGTTCAGAAAGTCAGTGAGATGGGTTGGACTGTTTGGTGTCGCACAGTTCATTTAATCTCTGCACTAACTTTAGAAATGACAGTATGCATCTCATTATGGAGATTTATTCTTGAGTCTATATTTTTTCTTTGATCACATCATGGAAAATCCTTTTTCACATACGTAAAAAAGTGGAAAAAGGAAGCAGAACAATGCAAGGCCTTCTTACTTAGGCTCTGAATACGGGATTTTCTTTACAGACACCAAAAATTAGGACAGCGTTACAGGACTGAATCCACGCCCACAAACAAAGCGTGCCATTACCATTGTCCAATAGGTAGAGCTTATTTAAAATAACTGATAGTTGGACAATGTTGCGTTTCATAGAAACAGCCGACAACATATTAAACAAATGTTTTATCCTCGATTGCTAAAATTAATGAAGACACATACATAGTCAAAAGTAATTTATTCATGTAGAAATAATTAAGCAGGCAACATTTATTTAATTAAAATTATTACAAATTTCTCGCACCTCCCCTCTTGAAACTTTCGCACCTCCTGGGGAAAGGCATGCCTCACCGTCTTAAATAACACTACCTAAGTGATCGTAATTCACTAAATCAATAAAAAACTGTTTCTCAATATAGCGAACTCTTGCTCTCGTGTATAAAGTGATCAAATCACCGTTGATTGTGACACGAATAAACATTTTGCTGTTCATCACCAGTAAGCTAGAACAATGCTCTTAACTTGCAAAAAAAAGAAGATTTATAAATAAGAGACACACTGGCAATAGAGTCACACCCTTTCCACAGAGATTTTATTGGAAGAAAGAACTGCATTCTATAGCCAGCAAATATTTGAAACCCCAATTTCCAAAGCCTCCCCCAAAGATTCCACTTTATACGAGGAAGCCTACTAACATCGCCAGTGTGCTTTGCTCTGGGAGTGTGGGCCCAGTTGATGCTTTGCACATGGTCGCGGTAACCACTCGACAAAGATGGCCATGCTGTGTTCGGGGGGCAAACCAAGCTGCTGCCAACTCGCTGCAGCGCCTCTTCGTCCACCCCATGCCTTGCAGACGAAGCTCAGCACAAACGCCCGGCCGCAACCACATATGCCTTCACTGTCACCACTTCTTATACACACAAAACAATACAAATGTTAGAATCACAAGGAGCTCCGAGGTAAAAAATAAGAACTAGATACTGTATGTAAGGCCAAATCCTGGAGATGGTTGCATTAGAGTTGGTCTATAAATGATTTCGTGTTATTGATATTTCGACATTATTTAATTTTTTGTGTTCTTACTTATCACAGAAAAAGATTTTAGGTATGTGGCTATTCTTATAAGATTGCCTTTTATTGAAGCATCATCAGGTTCATACGTGCTTGGGATGCAAGTATATCTTTTGACTTCTCTCATCTTGATGTAACGCCAGTTATTTATTCCTCCACTGAAACTCATTAATACAGTTAAAACTGCTTTAAGACCAAATAGGATTAGATATAGCGGAAAAACCTGCCTCACTGGAAAAAAATCTCAGAACCAGGCATTTTTCAATGCATGGTAGACGTGGATAAGCTGGAAAACCTGCCGAACTCAGAACTGAAATAAATTTAGTATGACAAGTATTTAAAAATTCTGGACAAGACAGAAACCAAATAATTGTTTTAAAATTAAATATTACTTGTAATGTGGAACGATACTGTACACGAGACACTCAGAACTGAGCTCGTCCATTCACTTTCACTGCCCCTGTTTGAATATCATTTTTCCTTATGGTACTTATCATAGCCACTGGTTATTTGTAATAGCACTGCCGTTCACAAGTCCTTGTTGAAGGAAAGAAGGCCAAAAGACGATCCTTCCAAAATTGTGCAGCCTTAGGTGCCAGTAGTTCAAAAACAATTTAACCTGTTATTCAGTTCAACCAATTGCCAATGTTAATCAAGTGGTTTATGATGCCAGGCAGCAGAATTTAAAAACATTCAACTCTTGTTGAGAAAATCTTATAATAATTGAGGACACAAGAAAGCAACATTCTGCTAAATGCTTTGAAAAAGCAAATGTTACAGTTGGGAAAACTGAAGTTGTTTAGGACACCTTAAAAACAATACAAATGAATAATATGAATGGTAGAAAGAAATTTGTTCATACGTAGTTGCCATGCTCTGTGAGGACCTAGCCGAATATCAAAGCCTAAAATCATCAGCATGAATCTGCTGTTCGAACAAATATTTGAAGAAATATTTATTTTAATTTTTTATGGAGCGCATTTGTTTCATTAGAATCATGTTGCGTTTCCTGTTAGGTTAATTTTCTTTGCGTCTCCAGGATATCGTTTCCTTTGACATGTAGCTTTAGGCGAGAAAACCACTCATACAACATTATTTCCATCTTTTGAATGATTGCATTTATTCTGACATTAAACCAGTTTACATTGCAAACCTGAAGGACGAAGAAATTATAATCGAAATCAATTCAGAATTAGACAGGTTTTACTGTAACTTCCTTATCCAAATTTCACTAGAGTATAATAGCATTATCATATCTAATGAACACCAAAATAAACAACAACTCTTGTAACACTTTTTCATGAATTCAATATAAATATTGTCTGTCCAATTGAATTTCATGTACTATCCAACAAATCAAGAAATGAGTAAAATATTCTTCAACATAAAATCTCTAATAATATTCAAATTATTGATTTTAATAAAAAAACTTTGAACTTGCAGTACAGTTTTTTTATTAATTATTTAATTTATTTATTGTAATATTACGCCAAGCTTAATGTTAGGTATTAAAATGACTGCTCTGAAGTACACACACCCTCTATTTCAAGCGTGTAAAGAAAATCATTTCAAATATTAAATTTACTTACCCAAATTTTACTGAATCGGAAGCAAAGCTTCTTACTTTTTCGTACTTGCAATAAAAAACACAGTACATATTACTTAAGCAGTTTGTGCATGAAGAATGACGCATTCATCAAAATTTAATGTTACTTCTACTCAAAAAACATAATGATTCTAATATTCCACTTGTTAAATTAGGTATCCAAACAGAATTTGTGTAAATTGGGGTACTTACATCAATTTCTTCTCCAAAAGTGCACTTGCAACTTTGCTGACATAATGCTTCACTTTTATTAGGATGTCTAAAACATGAAGAGAAAAATTCAATTAGTTGTCTTCCACATAAAAAAAAAGAAACAATTCGATAGTAGTTGATATAACCTGAGACATTACTTTAGAGGTACACAGAATAAATACATTAATAACAATACTTTATATGAAAATTCATTATAACCAATCCACTACCAGAGTTTTGGTTGAGTTTACCTTTATTAACAAATCGTAAGTAAAATACAAAATAAGTTAATGCACCTCACATCTATTGTTTTTGTGGCATTTTATATTGATACAATACTCTCTATATAAATTCTCCTCATAATAGTACGTAAACTCTTAACATATTCCGCCTTTTTCATTATGATGATAGAATTTGAAGTGATGTTATTAAAGTGAAAGCATTCAATCAAAGCTCCCACAAGCATTATTTTTCAGAATCCTTGAAAACAAGGTCGCTGGCAAGCAAGATGCAGAAAGATCTGGCTGACAGACTGTTATAAGGACTCCGCAGTCCATAGAATCGCAATTGACAAAAGTTTACTACCAATATCCACAAAAAACCTCGTCACGAGTGTGAGTGTGTGTGCAGAGCGGAGTGTGTGAGAAAATGGATTTGGACATTTATCAATTCCTCCACATACCCCTTTACCAACCTTCATGCTTAACATCCTATTACACTTCTCTTAACATACTTATCACAATCTCATCAATTTCAATAATTTAACTCATTTCAAACCAGAGGTACTCATCTCTCTCCCGGATAAATAAAAAATATTTCTCCACAAAAAACTAATCCAATCCTGTCACAATTTTTTCCATTCAAGAGTACATACACTTAATGATATGCTTCACTTTTGACTCACACAGATAAAAACATAACAAGAATTTGAATCTTAATTTACAAGTTACACCCAGAACTTCCAGAACAGAAGAACTAAACAATTACACCTTTCTTAGAAGAAAACAAAAGAATAACAATAATAAATGACTTTTTTTTATAATAAACAAGTGAATACAAATTCTCATCTAATTAATCCATTCCACACACTGCTTTCAAAATTCCTAATTTCCCTCTAATGATGGAAATAGCCAGAAACACGTTTTGCCCTTCAAATTGTATATACAATAGAAATTACAGTTCAGAGCACAGAAATGCAATGAAGTATATTCAAAACATCCTTTACCAATACCTTAAGAATGCTCCCAAAATTTCAGAGAAAGTAGTGCTAATTCAATTTAAAACCATTAGAAAATGTTACCTGAAAAAACTTTGTACGCACACAAATGTGATACTATGAAAATTAATGGATATATTAAAAATATAAAGATAATGAAGGTAAAAGTACTTCGTTTGTATTCCCCTTTTACCTGTCCATACGAAAGCATTGAGCTGAGATTTAATTTATTAGTATAAATAGTTTTTTCGGGAAATTGTCACTTAACAAAATTTCAATATTAGCATTTCAGTTGATTTGACAAATTCCAACCTCCCCCCCAAAATATCGAGCTAACAGCTTAGAAACCAGTTGTTTCTATTCCTTTTATTTTATTTTTCTTTTTTTTTGGTTTTTATGTAAATTATTAATTACTAAAACTTTTACCTTCATTATTTTATATTTTAATATACCATAATTCATGTACACATTTGTGTGCTGTACAAAGTTTTTCAGGTTAAACATTTTCTATTGTTTTAAATGAAATTAGCACACTTTCTCTGAAATTTTGGGAGATTCTTTTAAGGTATTGGTAAAGGTATGTTTTGAATATACTTTCATTGCATTTCTTGTGCTCTGAACTGTATTCTATTGTATATACAATTTGAAGGGCAACGTTTTCTGGCTATTCCATATTAGAGGGAAATTAGGAATTTTGAAGCAGTGTGTGAATGGATTAATTAGATGAGAATGTATTCAGTGTTAATTATAAAAAAAGTCATTTTATTATTGGTTATTCTTTGTTTTCTTCTAAGAAAGGTGTAATTGTTTAAGTTTCTTCTGTTTCTGGAGTTCTTGGTGTACTTGTAAATTAAGATTCAAATTCTTGTTATGTTTTATCTGTGTGAGCAAAAGTGAAGCATATCATAAGTGATGTACATCTGAATGGAAAAATTGTGACAGATTGGATTAGTTTTTGTGGAGAAATATGTTTTATTATCCGGGAGAGAGAGAGTACCTCTGGGTTGTGAATGAGTAATTATTGAAATTGATGAGATTGATAAGTATGTTAAGAGAAGTGTAGTAGATGTAAGCATGAAGGTTGGTAAATGGGTATATGGAGGAATTGATAAAGTGTCAAAATCCATTTTTCAACATCGTTGAAAATAAATGTGAAGAGGTTTTTGTGGATATTGTAGTAAACTTTTGTCAATTGCGATCTTGGACTGCGGGAGTCCTTATAACAGTCTGTAAGACAAAGATTTTCTGCATCTTGCTGCCAGCGACCTTGTTTTCAAGGATTCTGAAAATAATGCTTGTGGGAGCTTGATTGAATGCTTTCACTTTATAACATCACTTCAAATTCTATCATATGAAAAAGGGGAATATGTTAAGAGTTTACGTACTATTATGAGAGAATTTATAGAGAGTATTGTATCAATTTATAAAATGCCACAAAAACAATAGATGTGAGTGCAATTATATTATTTTTTATTTTACTTACGATTTGTTAAAAGGTAAACCAACCAAACTCTGGTAGTGATTTGTTATAATGAATTTTTCAATATAAAGTATTGTTATTATGTATTTATTCTGTACCTCTAACAGTAATGTCTAAGGTTATACAACTATACGATTGTTTCTTTTTTTTTAATGTGGAGAAAATAATTGAAATTTCTCTTCATGTTGTTTAGACATCAATAAAAGTGAAGCAGTTATGTCAGCAAGTTGCAAAGTCACTTTTGGGAGAAGAAATTGATGTAAGTACCCAATTTAAAAATTCTGTTTGGATACCTAATTAAAAAGTGGAATATTAGAATCATTACGTTTTTGAGTAGAAGTAACATTAATTTTGATGAATGCGTCATTTCATGCACAAACTGCTTAAGTAATATGTACTTGTTTTTATTGCAGTACGAAAAAGTAAAGAAGCTTGCTTCCGATTCAAAATTTGGTAAGTAAATTTAATATTTGAAATGATTTTCTTTACACGCTTGAAATAGAGGGTGTGTGTACTCTCAAGCAGTCATTTTAATACCTAACATTAGCTTGCGTAATATTAAATAAAAATTAAATAATTAATAAAAAAACTTGTAACTGAAAGTTCAAAATTAAAATCAATTAATTTGATAAATTAGAGATTTTTATGTTGAAGAATAATTTACTCATTTCTTGATTTGTTGGATAGTACAGAAATTCAATTGGAAGAAATATTTATATTTGAATGCAGTGAAAAGATTACAAGAGTTGTTGTTTATTTTGTGTTCAGTAGATAATGATAATGCTAATACTTAGTGAAACTTGATAAGGAAAGTACAGTAAAACCTGTCTAAATCTGAATTGATTCGAATAATTTCTTCCGTCTTCAGGTTTGCAATTAAAACTGTTAATTCAGAAAATGCAATCATTCAAAGATGGAATATGTTGTATGAGTGGTTTATCTCGCCTAAAAGCTACATGTCAAAGAAACGATATCCTGGGAGAGGCAAAGAAAATTACCTACAGAAACGCAACATGAATTCTAATGAAACAAAGCGCTCCATAAAAATTAAAATAAATATTTTCTTCAATATTTGTCGGAACAGATGAATTCATGTGATGATTTAGGCTTTGGATATTCGGCTAGGTCCTCAAGAGCATGGCAACTACCTATGAAAAATTTCTTTCTACCATTCATTCATTCATTTTGTATGTTTTTAAGGTGTCCTACACTTCAGTTTTCCCAACTGTAAATTTCTTTTTCAAAATCTTAGCAGAAATGTTGCTTTCTTTGTGTCCCTCAATTATTATAATTTTCTCAACAAGAGTTAATGTTTTAATTCTGCTGCCTGGCATCATAAACACTTGATTAACATTGGCAATTGGTTGAACTGAATAACAGTAAATGTTTTGAACTACTGAACCTAAGGCATGCACAATTTTGGAAGGATCGCTCTTTGCCTCCTTTCCTTCACAAGGACTTGTGAAAGGCAGTGCTATTACAAATAAACAGTGGCTATTGCATAAGTACCATAGGAAAAATGATATTCAAACAGGGGCAGTGAAAGTGAATGGACGAGCTCAGTTCTGAGTGTCTCGTGGTACAGTATCGCCACATTTACAAGTCAATATTTAATTTTAAAACAATATTTGGTTTCTGTCTTGTCCAGAATTTTTAATACCGTCATACTAAACATTTATTTCAGTTCTGAGTTCGGCAGGTTTCCAGCTTATCCAGTCTACCATGCATTGAAAAATAGCCTGTTCTGAGATTTTTTCCAGTGAAGGCAGGTTTCCGCTATATCTAATCCTAGGTTTGGTCTTAAACAGGTTTTAACTGTATTAATGAGTTCAGTGGAGGATAAAATAACTGGGTTAACATCAAGATAGAGAGAAGTCAAAAGATATACTTGCATCCCCAAGCACGTATTGAACCTATGATGCTTCAATAAAAGGCATTTATAAGAACTAGCCACATACTGAAAATCTTTTTCTGTGAAAGTAAGAACACAAAAATAAATAATGTCAGAAATATCAATTAAACACGAAATCATTTATGACCAACTCTAATGCAACCTCTCCAGGATTTGCCTTACATACAGTATCTAGTTCCATTATTTTTACCTCAGAGCTCCTTGTGATTCTAACATTTGTATTGTTTTGTGTGTATAGAAGTGGGTGACGTGAAGGCATGTGTTGCGGCCGTGGCGTTTGTGCTGAGCTCGTCTGCAAGGCATGGGGTGGACGAAGAGGCGCTGGGCAGCGAGTTGCAGCAGCTTGGTCTGCCCCGCGAACACAGCATGGCCATCTGTCGAGTGTACCGCGACCATGTCGCAAGCATCACTGCCCACCTCCAGAGCAGCACACTGCGATGTTAGTAAGCTTTCTGTATAAAGTGGACTCTTTGGGAGGCTTTGGGAAATTGGGGTATCATATTTGCTGGCTATAGGATGCAGTTCTTTCTTCCAATAAAATCTCTGTGGAAAGGGTGTGACTTCTATGCCAGTGTGTCTCTTATATTTATAAATATTCTTTTTTGAAGTTAAGAGCATTGTTCTAGCTTACTGGTGATGAAACAGAAAATGTTTATTCGTGTCAACAATCAACGTGATTTGATCACTTTATACACGAGAGCAAGAGTTCGCTATATTGAAGAAACAGTTTTATTGGATTAGTGAATTACGATCACTTAGGTCAGTGTTATTCAAACGGTGAGCCATGCCTCCCCAGGGAGGTGCGAAAGTTTCAGAGGGGAGGTGCGAGAACTTTGTAATAATTTAATTAAATAATGTTCCAATGCTTAATTATTTCTACATGAATAAATTACTTTTGGACTATGTATGTGTCTTCATTAATTTTAGCAAATCGAGGATAAAACATTTGTATAATATGTGATCGCCTTGTTTCTATGAAACCAACATTGTCAACTATCAGTTATTTTAAATAAGCTCTACCTATTGGCACAATGGTAAATGGCTCGCTTTGTTGTGGCGTGATTCAGTCCTGTAACCTTGTCCTAATTTTGGTGCTCTGTAAAGAATCCGTATTCAGAGCTAAGTAAGAAGGCCTTGCATGTTCTGCTTCCTTTTTCCACTTTTTACGTATGTGAAAAAGGATTTTCCATGGATGTGATCAAGAAAAATATAGATCAAGAATAAATCTCCATAATGAGATGCATACTGTCATTTCTAAATTAGTGCAGAGATTCAATGAACTGTGCGACACCAAACAAGTCCACCCATCTCACTGACTTTTCTGAACTATCAATGTGTTTGTTTTTTATAGTTTTCCAAACATTAATTACATTCATTAATTACAAGAGTGAACAGTGCAAATCACTTGCATTAATTATTTTGTAGTACACTGTAATTACATAAATAACAAAGTGTGCATAATGATTTCAGGAAAAAATATTTAGTTGTTACTTTTTTTTTAACAATTTAATTTTAATGCGGGGAAGCATGTGCAGAATTTGTTACCTGAATCACGGCAGCAATGAGTTTGAAAACCTCTGACTTATGCCATTGTTTGTTTTAATGCTCAAGCAGAATGGTGCGTCTTATTTGTGAAAGCAAACCTTTCTAATTTTCGGTATAATTTACAGTATTTTTATACTAAATAAATTTAGCATTTATTGCAATTGAGTGTGACCTATTAATTCAGTAAAGTAAATTTTTCAAGTGCTATTAACCTATTTTCTCAAAAAATTATATTCAAAAATAGGGTGCATTTTGTGAAGTATCAGGAATAAATTCAGCACCTTAGTCAATCATTAACATATTTATTTCATTGATAACATTTACTATAAAGTAAGAACGTATTGAATATAACAAAAGTCTGCATTACTGCAATTTGCTACAAGATGGCAAATATTGTATCAGGGGAAATAAGGTAGGAATCATAATTCGTTAACAAATTCCTGGCTGTACTATCAGAAATTTCTCTTGATTGTTAGCCACCTTGGCTCCTATATGAAATAACTGGATAGAGGCTCAAGGTTCAAAAATCACCTCTTTTCCATTTGATGGGAATTTTATCAAGTAGACATAAACAATTACATAGTGCACTTCACTTTTTTCAGCAAAAGAATCACGAAAATCTGAAATATGCAATTTTGAAATTTGCAAATGTTGCACGAAAATGCTTATCTTTTCAAAATATTATACACAATCTTGTTGATGAAGAAAAGATTTTATAAAGAAAAAAATATTACTTTTGCAGTTTTACAATTGATTTTTTGCAATTATTGAATAAACAGAAACCGAAAATTGTCCATTTTGATAAGTGTACTTTTCAAGAAAACATTCAGAGCAGTTTTTGAATTGGTTTTAAAAATTGCTTATACTTTAAATAAAAATTGCATAAAACAACTAGTTTTTTGTTTGTTTTTTCCCAAAAATTTAACTTGACAATCTTTAAGACAGCTATTTTGTACAGATTTTATTAAGAAAAACAATCTCTATTATTGATATTGTAATTTTACAATGTTCATGTTTTGGAATTTCCCAAAATAAAATTTTGTTTGCCAAAAACGGGATCCGTGCCATTTTTAGTCTTGCTTTTCTCTATTCAAGAAAAGAATTAAAGAACCAATTTGGAGACCTTGAGAATATAAATTTTTTTATAAAGTGCCTATAATTTCTTGCAAAATTAGTGCAAGTTAGTTACAATGACTGATTGTAAGATGACTTTTGTTGTGCCCAGTGAGCCGTCTGCAGCACGTGCAGTGGCGAGTGGATGTTGCGTCGGAGTGCAGTGTTCCTAAGGAATCGGAGGTCAGAATGCATCCAGAGGTACAGCTGTCCTTAGATGTACGTGACACTGTGGCTGACAAGTCAGTGAATCACAGACTGGTTCTCTCCGCAGAGCAGTTAACTATGCTCATCTCAGGTAAAGTATTAACAGCTTGTGAGTTTGTAAACTACACCACTGATCATTTCGGTTGGAAATTGGGGCTGTCCTCTTCAGGCAGTATTAAAAAATCACTCTTTATGATTAAACCTGGGCTTGGTGGATACCAGGGGTGTCCAAGGAGGACAACTTGCCCCAATTTTTCTTCCATTGAAAACAAATAAAGTATATTTACTTCTGGTTAGAATTAACTACTATAAGTTATATCTAATGCATGGAGAAATGAATCTTGTTTATGTATTCAGGGGGGGGGGGGTGTTTGAAATAGGAGCCTCCAGTAGGTCTCTTTTTTCTCTGGGTGCCCCTGGTTGATAGAAGAGAATATGTGTTAATTAGACATCGAATGTTTAGGAAAATGGCTTTTTTATGCTAATGAAAATATTTAAAGGCAATTAATATATGTGAATGAATTATGAAATTAATTATGAAAAACTAAAAGTTTCTGGTAAATTTTTATTGTGCCTTTTCTTTGGTCTTTGGTGAAACAAATGCCTTTTATATACATATATTTCTTTTTACATGCTTTTCTCTTAAAATTTATAATATTAAATATTTATAAATATTTAATTATTTAAATATTATATATAATATTATAAACACATAAAATTATATAAACACGTAAATATTTTTTATTTATGAAAAATAACATTCTATGTTTTCTGCACTATTCTCTAAGTATGCTTCTGTTTTCAGATACATTTTTCAATTTGTTTTTTATTTACATCATTTAGTAATAATATTTATTTAAACATAGTAAGTCTTTCTTTCTATATCTATTACTCCAAAATCAGCATAACACAATTTATTCTGAGGTAAGGAATCAACCATTTTCAGCATACATATCCATGTGTTCCCATCATTATTGCACAATGTTTATTGTCTCATACAAGAATTATTGTAAACAATGAGTTTGTTTTTGTTTTGGGGGTATCATTCAAGTTACATACCTTTTTTATGTTCTCTCTTTGTATGCATACAATTTTGTTTTGCTACAATGAAAGTTAATTTGCTACAATGTTAATGCTCAATTTGACCAGCCATTTTTCCACTTCGTTATGTTAATGTCATCAGAATTCCTTGCTTTCTTTCTTAAATTTCCTTTTCATTTTTAATGGTGTTTCTAAGATCCCTCAGTTTTAAGCATCTACTCATCTCTTATAACTCTTGTCTGCCAGATTGATTCCCTATGATCAAAAGAACACTTACTCTTCGTTATTCATTTTGCTGATTGCAACCAACAGATAAGATCAAAGCTTCCATTGCCTTGTGAGATAGCCCCTTTTTCAACTGAGATTTCTGCAGAGCTGATATACTGAAGTATTTTAAAAACTGTACCCTAGCAAAAAAAGTCAATTCTAGACTTAATAACTTATTCATACATGACTATTCTATTGAAGTAATGTGTGTATTTGGCATTTTGAGTCTATAGTCTGACATTGCTAGCAAGCTAACGGTGTCTGTCATGCCTGGGTCTACTTTAATTCCGAAGCTAGAAACTATAAACAGTAAAGAGCTTCATGACTAGCAAGACCAGTCGCTTGAGCATTTCTTTGTCACAGCTGCAGAAACTGAGATGATTGTAAAGGAAAGCTACAACTATTTTTGCTACGACCGGGAATCAAACATGGGACCACACCATGGGAAGCTAGTAAGCTGCCCATGAGCCATCCTAGAGACCTTTATTTACAAAAAGAATACAATAAAAAAATTTCATGTAGCAACATAATGTTAAAAATAGAATAATTTGAATAATAACATATGAAAATATATTTGGTATAACAGTAGTTCTACCATGCCTACTCATTCTAATTTCAAGATTTTGTTGCACACTAGGGATAAAAAAAAGCAGATTTATCCATTTCATTTATATCAATATTCACACTGTTGACTGATTTGCAACATCGATTTATAACATTATTTGCTGTGTAAGATTGACAGTAAAATCTAATATCAAAAATATCTTTGGTTGTAGAATTAAAGTTAGGTGTGTTGTACACTATCTGGTTTTGCAAGATTTTGCAATTGACCTCACCGAAGTTTGGTTTTCTCAAAAACAACTAGTTGTTCAATTCTCTCTGAGAACTCAGTGAAGGAATGTGCAATTGCAGAGCCAAGTCAATAGAGTCATGTTTTATAAACGGATCTTCCAATCACAAACTATAGACTGACATTCTGAATGATTTATTTAAATCTTACTTGATTTCAAACAAAATGTAGAATACCTATTTTTCTACTGAGCCATTTAATTGTTAAACATTAGAAACATTATCATTGGCCAGTTCAATTAGAAGTGGTAAATATTTTCTAAAGGAAACAAATTTCCATTAGAATTTGAAGAAGTATGGTACCTTCTTTCTACTTTATATATCAACACAAGCTCGAAAACGGGTAGAGACTATCAGGGGACAGAAAAGATGAGTAGAGAATAATTAATAGATGGGGCAGGGATTTATCCTATCTCATACTTTTTACTTTCCATTGTTTCTATATAATTGTGTTTTCTTGTTGTTTTCAGATTTGAAGAGAATTTCTAGCCAAATGGACTCTTTGCAATAAGAAACTTCTTTGTCTCTTCAGATTCAGAATTAGACTTGAAGAGATTGCATTGAGATGCAATAAAATGAGTCCCTTTTAGCACAAGTGATTTAACTCAGTGGAGTTAATCAACTAGGTTGATTTCATTGTTCAGCAAGTGGCATTCTGTGTCTATCTTACATTAGTGGCACTGCGACTAGCTACTGTGTGACAGTGCTAGTGGCATTGCCACTAGCGTAAGATAGGCATTGAATGCTACTTGCTGAACATAATATCAACTTAAGAGGAAAATGAAGTTGCATCATTTGAGCTTTAAGTGGTTCATATATTCGAGAATGAATTTTTTCTGTGATTTATTTTATATTCAAGATACAATTAAATAGATGTTAGAAATATATTTGTATAGCTACATGGTATGACTCCCAAATAGGAAGTGGCTTGCTGTCAGTACTGAAGTTCTCAATTTGTTACTAGTAAATGTTCTAATGCCTAATAATGGGATAATGGCTGGTATTACTCTGTAAAAGATATTTGAGATATATCTTTGATAAAGAACTTTGTGAAAGTTCTTTGAACTTCGACAAAGGAATCCTTGACAAAGAAATTTGACGAATGTATTACATTTTGTCCAATATTTTGTGTAGTTTTGCTTGCAATTGAAGATGGATGACTCACAATTAGTTGTATTTGTGCCACTTTATACTTAATAATAACTAATGTATGTTTAATCAACACCACCTAGATAGCGTTGGTTTAATGCTGAAGAAGTAAAAGGTAAAAAGGAGGCATTTGAGGGTAAGGCCGTGGGTTGCAGCATAAATTAAAGAGCTTAGAAATGAAAAATTTGACGATGGATGAGGAAATATACAATTTCTATTGTCATTCATCTTCTTTTTTTTGAAATTGGAACCTCTGATTTTGAAGTTAAAAGAATTAACTTCATGAATTGGGCATTTTCCAAATTTCATATTATTCACTTCTCGGGAAAAAGTTTTATACGTCTCAAGTCGTTTGGTTTTATTTTTGTAGTCTGAATGAACAGTATTATATTAACATTCTAATTGCTCATGCTCTGCAATTAGAACTTTGGTTGAAGCAATACCCCACTTATACCTATTGGATGCCATGTTACCAAATGTATGATAAAGCTTGGACGCTTGAGGCTACATTTTATCACAGAAATTTTATAAAAGAAACTTTTATAAAACATTAACTTTTACACTGACATATGTTCCCTTATAAAAGATCTTTGACAAAGATCTTTTACAGTGTAATACCCACCAATGCATATTATCTAGGCTGAACCCACATGGATTTCCTACTTCATAAATCAAATGTACCCCAATGATATTTCTGAATGAAAAGAGAGATATTTAAGTTGTTAAGTCACATGTTAGTAGCCAACCCAGAAATTTTCCAAATCGAGAGGAAAAAGCTCTTTTTTATATTGTATATTTTTGCTTGTATTATTATAAATTTTGTGATATAATAAATGAAATATAAATTTAGAAAGTTCTGTTGTAAAAATGTTGTTTAATGTGGTAGCTTCTGGTACTCTTCCTATTCAGAATGTCGTTGCATCCGCAAGAGAAGGAAATGCCCTTCCTTCCGCAGGCGTGCTTAGAAAAGTTTTGAAGAACAAAAAACTTAAAATTGCTTTGTGGATTTCCAGTGGGGGAACGAGGGACATGCGGTGAACATAAATGAATGTGTGAAGAAATGGCGGCCGGCGGGTTGTAAATTAAGGTCACGTATGTGTCACATTGATTTTATTCATGAGAGGGAAGGGATTCTGGAACTGAAGAAAATGTGCGCAGATGTTCTCATACGTTACACACAGTTTTTTACTATTCAAAATATTTATTGAACGAAAAATACTACAGCGTGTAGTGAACAACAGATTTGCACGCAACAAGATTTTTTTAATCCTTGTCTAAGACAACTTTTATGTGTGTTGTGCTCACGTGAAAGTAAGACATTAAAAAAAATATTTCTAGCGGAGAAAATCAGTAATTCACGAAATCAAAAGGTAAGGGTTTATTCTTAGCCAAGTTATTAGGCGTAGACTCTAATAACAGCACCTCTCTAGTAGTTTCTTCTGTTTTTTTAGTGGCCTACGCCTTTCGGCGCCCATCCGCTGAGGACTTTTGTGGCTTTATTTTCTTATGCGGTCGTGAGGTCATGGTGTTCGTTGGGTTGCATCGCCGCTAGGCGGCAGGCGCTGCATCCAAACGATTTCTTTGAAGAAATAGGTGGGAAATTTTTATTCTATAGAAAAGAAGTGGAAGCGTTGAAGAAAGTTTGAATTAAAGACATGGCTATTCCGCGGGGCTTTTTTTTCTCAAATTTATAGTGTGTATGTACTTTGGCACAACAGCCAGCACCGTCCAGGTCTACCAGAAGCGTCCCGACCTTGCGGGCATGGGTTAAGGAATACGTGTGGTTAGCATATAACCATCCCTACCCTGAACTCTGGTCTTCTCAACCTGAGAAGTGAGCTTTCTCATCGTCGCGCAGAGACAGATACTGAGGCATTGCAAGGAAAGCGCACAATTAATTTTTATTGAAGATGGCCGAAGGAATCATATGCTGGTGGGCAATCGTTTTATACTTCTGAGGTATTTTTTTGCAGTAATATTGAAGATGTTTGTTGAAGGGAGGAGTGTAAACGCATGTTTTAATTCTTTTTTGTAAGAATCGATGATGACTAAACCCGCAATGGGGAGAGGCACTAACGAAGTTTGCCTCAAACCTTTCCAAAAGTACGAAAGCGCATTTTCTTCCCTTTTCTCAAATCTAAAGCTGTTCCTAAGAGACTCCAATACCCAGGTACGTTTCTGTTAAGCTTCGAAATGTCATAAGAATTCAAGAAGAAATATTAATTTTTAAGTGCACCACTATTTTAATGCAATATCCAAAATTCATGCCAATTATATGCATTGCAAAAAGGCCAAGCCTCGTATTTACTTTTTAACTGTTGATAAATAATAACTTTTGATTACCGAAACAATATTAAAAATTTCTTTGATGACAAAAGAAGTCGGCCTCACGGGAACAAACTGATTTGATGTTTATTTACTGAAAAGCCCGTAAGGTCCTGTTCTCCCCATAGTTTGCTTATGTGAGAATTCGCTGCGGTGGCGCAGGCGGTGCGTCACGGACGTGGGGGCGTTGGAGAATAAAATTATCAAAATGTGGAGAGGAAACGTATTTCCATTTTGAAGAGCATGTAAGATAAGTCCAGCGAAGCCGGTGGAAAAGTTGCAAGACATGCTCAGCGCGCCCTCTGGCACGGACCCGCGCACCGCCCAGCGAGGAGGCGCGCGGAAGGGAGAGGAAGGCGAGGCGGTGGCCAGGCCTACCAAGGTCGGGGACGTGGACGAGAGCGGGCGGAGAGACCCGGCGAGGCGAGACCTACGCGGGGAAATGGTAAGTTGGTGCCAGGGCGAGCAACACTAGTCCCCCCCTATACAAGTCTTAGAAATCAACCTGATCTGACTAGATTGGAGTCAAAGTAAAGTTAAGTCAACGTAATGATTCAGATCTAAATGTGTAATGACCTAGAGTAAATAAACCAACGCAGAGGACAGTTCTTCTCTTTCATTTGACCACACGCCCCTCGGGACGTTCCTGTGGGTGAGTCCCGGCCCGTCCTCTCCCAACCAAACACAGAGAGGGGGTAAGTAAAGAAGAGAGGGAAAGAGAGTAGCCCGTGCGCAGGAGAGGGAACTGTGACGAGCGCGCGCTCCGGCGCCGCGGGTGCAGCCCGAGAGAGTCCTTCGCGATGTCTCGTAGCGTCTTCGTTCGCGGTGGGAGGCGCGCGGTTCTTCCGCCCATCTGCACCTTAATTAACAATGCATCACGCTGCTGTTCCCAGGCCAGTTCCTCGTCTAGGGTGGCGCCGAGGTAGGTCATGCGGGCACGGAACGGTATTCTGGTTCCGTTGATGTCTATCGGGAGGGGCTTTTCTTCTCGACTCCACGAAGAGTCAGTGGCTTTGGATTTACTTGACTTTAATGTCATCCCATTGAGAGTACTCCGGGTTGTTAGTTCGTAAGCGGCGGCTGTATTGCGAATCTGCAGTGAGAACTAGGTCGTCGCCGTAGAGGAAGAGAGTAAAGAGCAGAAGAGAGAGAACCGCTCCTTGCGGGACTGCGGCGCGGAGTTGAGTTTTTGTCCAAAAATATTTACTCAAGCGCGGGAATATATTTTCAGCTAATTCCGATGTCTATAACTACAACACGCGACGTAATAATCATATTCATCGGGTGCCAGTACAGTCATCCCTGTACAAAAAGTTCACATACAATGCATGTACATTATTTGACAACACATTGTCAGATGGTGTTAAACGATTAAATGCGATAAACAAGTTTAAGTGCCCAGTAAAATCTTTTCTGTTGCCTAACTGTTTCTATACAATTAGTGACTATACTGAGCATCGAAACGGAAAGATATATTAATTTTAACAATAATTTTGAATGTATTAATGACCATTTGGACTGCACAATTCTAAACAACGTGTAACAAGTATTGTACCTCAGTTTCTGGTTTTTCGTCCAGCTTCCCTGATCCTTCGAGCGAATGCTGAGATGGCCCCTTGTGTTACTTCTGGACATAAATGTAACTTCACAAAACGTGCACAGAATACGTTCCTCCGCATAGTTTGTGACTCGCAGTTTCTAACTGTCTTTGACGTTGAATGAGGTGCCGCTTATCGCCATAAGCACCTGCGAGGAAGGGGAGGCTCCAGGACGAGCAGGTGCGCGTCCGCTTCTCCAGGTGGCTCAGGGCATCGACTGATATCACTGCAGTGCCTCTGATCGACAGGTCGTGGGGTTTGAGTCCCGGCGGTGGTGGCGGGATTTTCGACGCTAGCCAGACAGCTAGGTCCAATTCAGTCGCTGTCTCCAGGAGAATTCTAGCGCTGGCTGCTCTGATCGGTAGTTTTCCGTGGTTTCTCCAATCAACACCAGGCGAATGCCGGAGAAGTACCCTAACAAATGGGCCACGGATCGGGCACGATCTTTCTTTCCCATTTCTTATCCTATTCTCTCCCCTTACATAACTAACATACGCTACACTACCACACATGCCGTAAGACCGGTAGGGAGCTTGACAGTGCTTGTCCCGGCTGTGGTGGTGCCGCGTTGATAGGAAATACCTAGTAGTGGAAAACCCCGTTAGCCGACGGTAGGTCGACGCCGGACCTCGCCATCTCTCGAGGAAAAATATGCACTATACTTACGTGACTAACGGCCTTAGCAGTTGAATAGCGCGAGAAATCGAGACGGCATAGGGTAAAAACGACATGGAACGCAGCAGTATGTGCATGCAATGTATTTCTGTTCAGTCGGTGTTGAGCACGAGGCAGACGCCCTGCAGCACCCAGTGGCTGACGTGCTCCTTGGTGGCCAGGTCGGCCTCAAACACCAGCCCCTGGCCCATGGCGTTGCGCCGCAGCGACGTCGTGTACACCGGCGTGCGCAGCGTGTTCTGCACACACACACACACACATTGGCGTCGCTATGACCACCAATCGCAATGATAGTTACAACACGCTCCGATCTAACTGACTCAGTTACATACATACATATATTCACACAGGGTAATCGTGTAGGAAACGTCGAAAAGAAGCTCTTAAAACAATTTTAAACATAACTAGGTGGATATTCCGAATGGTTGAGCTGCAATAATCAATCGAAAGTCAGTTTGAAAAAAATATTTATAGGCAAGAATGTGTTCAGAAAGAAAAATTAAAAAAAATAAATTGTGTAAATTGGAAGCTTTTATATTTTTCGGTTAATTTTTCTTTCCGAACGTATTCATTTTCGCTATCGCCAATGCGTGGCTGGACGGCGCGAGAGCGCGTGGGGGGCACTGACCAGCAGCTTGAGGTTGCGCAGTTCGATGGGCTTCACGCGCAGGAAGGGCAGCTCCTCCACCAGCACCTTGGGCTTGGAGCGCGCCAGGTAGCCCGTCTCCGTGCTCCACGACGCGCCCTCGATGTACAGCCCTTGCAGCAGCCGCACCGAGTCCTGCGGCACCGCAGAGGCGCGTCCTTATAGCGTAGGGCATGTTTTGTCGCGCCTTGTGGAGGAGGTCTGGTTGGGGCGAACCAGTGACGACCTACACGCCGCAATAAGCACTCGAAAGTTAGTTTGGAAAAATGGTTTTAATGTGCTCAAAAAGAAAAATTAAGAAATAAATAAAAAGGAGTCTATTTATGCGATGTCCTCACCCAGGTATCTCTCTCCAAGCATGTGTGGTAGTGTAGTGCGTGTAAGTGTGGTCAGAGAGAAGGGTGAGGGAAGGACGAGGGAGAGGAAGCAAAGATAATAGTGTTTGGCTCTGGCATTCACCTGGTGTTGACCTGACAAACCATGGAAAACCATCGATTGGAGCAGCCTGCCGCTAGAGCCGGCTGAATTCGACTTAGCTCTCTAGCTACGATCGAAAGTTCTGCCACTTTCTTTTGTTATTTAAGGTCGTATCAACTTCTAGGTCATTAGCGGCCACTATTGCTTGTAACTGTGAGGATGGCACGATATGATTATGTTAGGGGTGAAATGACGAACACAATACATCCATGCCCGGGGCGGGACTCGAAACCGCGATCCTTCGGTCCGAGATCGCTACGGCAATACTGCCTTAGCGATCTCGCCATCCGGACCGGCAAGCTCTGCCACTGTTTGGACTTGATCCCTAGAACCTCTGTGAAAGAGGCACTGCAGAGACATCAACTGATGCCCTCAGCCACCT